GTTCACACAACGTAATGACAACAATTTTGGCCTGGCGGGCATGAGCTTTTCGAGGAGCATCGCAGGTTTGGACAGCGGAAGTGTCTCCATGCCAACAGAAAGGACGACAGTTTCCAAGATCGCAGGGCCCTCGAGATTCACTCATCAGCAGTTTGTCGGACCTCTGTTGTCACCAACACTATCGGACTCTGAGGGTAGGCAGCAGCACACAATGGAGCTTAAAACACTGGCATCGGAGGCGATCAGCTGGACGACACAAGAGGATAGGTGGTGAAGCTATCCCAACCACTCCGTCACTCTTATTGGGCAATGACACCAGAAGAGAAAGCATTTTGGCCCGCGTACTCCTGGGCCGACAACCTCTGGATTGTGGACTTGCAGGGGAACATTTTAACCTCAAAGAAGTATGCCAAGATCAGCGCTGCACTATAGCATATCTACACATGCTTCGGGTAGGAATCCATAGCTACGCTTCGTCATTCCAAATGGTAGGCGCTACCACGTATCGACAAGCCAAGCTGCGAAAATAAGGCCTAGCAATTTTGCTAAGCGCACCGAGCTTAGATGTGGGGCAAGAGCTTCAAGTTCGTAAGAACCTACGCCTGCGCCACACACCCCAATGACACAGGCATATACCTATAAATACACCGCGTCGGGCTGCGTCAGTGGCATCTCGGTGGACTCGGAACACAGTCGGCAATGCGTCATTGCCCCGGAGCAAGAGAGCGATGGAAATCATGGAGCATTGCTGCAAACAACATCGAGGATCAGCGGACGGATGCCGATTGTAAGCGGCTCCGTAAGAGCCAGGAAGCAGGGGGTTATGTTTTGTATGCGAATCCGCTTATCCACAGATACCCGTGGTGCCTGCCCGACACTATCGCGAAAGGCACGTACTATTGGCCCTGAAAAAACAAATATTTCGTCGGTACAGAGGTTCGGACAGTGTGCTGACACGAACTCTGGAGACGCTTCATGACTCAGCGGAGGGAAGTGCGTGACAGATGGCTGCTTTACAGCAGACGCCAACCGATCTATGTGCTTATAAGAACAAGCTCACCGCGTACCAAGTGTGGGTCGTCTATCGAGTAGCAGTGCGGCAACTCAATCTCTTCCATCCAGACCGAGAGCAAGATAACAGATGCCGCAAGCTCCAATGCTGCCGAGGGTTGGTAGAAACACTAGAACAATTTGCTCGACAAGCCACTGCGTGCAAGCCTGCTGGCAGAAGCTCATCTGCTATTGGACAGGAGAACGCTGGGAGCTTGGACGGATTCAAGGCTTTATAGCAAACAGTGCAAGCAGACATGCGCCAGATATATCCATGGCGGTCCTGGCACAGCTCGCGCGACACCGCCCAGACGAGGTGGACGCATACATCGCCGTGTGGACACGCATATGGCATATCCTAAGCAGTTTTTGCATCAACAGCTTGTGGATACAGCGCAACCGCGTGACGTTACAGCAAGCGGACGTGACCATCGCAGGCAACGTGCAGGAATTTTGGGAGACAGGCATGCGACAACTTCGCGCAGTCGCGAAGCGAGAGTACTAATGAACACACACGAAAATCAAGAAATTATATGATGCTATGCCATGTGCCATAGCCAGACAGCCGAGAGCCGTCACCACAGGTGACAAGCCCGTACAACCACCGATCCCGAACGAGGAACCGGCGTTGCCAACCAGGCTTAGGATTTACCAGACATCCTGCAACCACTTAAGGTTAAAAAAGACTTATTTGCCTTCTAAAGTTGTTGCTTGGCCGTCCCATCTGTCAAAGTGTTGCTCTGTGTCTTCCTGTCCCATCTTAACGATCGTCTCCTCGTAGTGCCACATGTCAAGCTGTCAGACAGCCGGTCAAATAGGTGACACTGTCCCACGTTATAGCACTTGAACCTTGAAACCTTGAAACCTTAAAAATCTGTCACACACAATGGTTTCTAACATAAAATCCTACAGCCGCAACAGCCAGGGCCAATGCACTGCAGATGAGTTACACATCACGCAGTCCTAACCGTATAACACCATCTTCTTGGGAGCGGTCGCAGCAATCGGCATAGTGCGTATTGATTTGAGACTTTAAAAACAAGTCGAAGCGAGGAAGTTCACGAATGGACGCACTTTATTGAGAAAATGTAGGGAAGACGTGTCTCCATGTGATATGTGCTAAGCTTCTTACCTTCAATTCAGAAGAAGGGCTTTTTATGGCGTTCCCAAGATAAGATTAGGATAAGCTCGCTGACGCAACCAGCTTAGTAAATGGACAGAGCATTGCATCCGACCAATTTACCGGCCTTACAATCACTAAAACCACTCAGTTAATTTTTTTGCTGCTTAGAGGAAGACCGATGCAGCAGACTATCTTTTTCGAATCCCGCAGTCTTACAGTCCTGTACTTTCCCATGCTTCCTGTCATCCAGAAGACATACAGGGCGAATTGAAGTCTGCGTTGATGACCTCTTGGAAAAACCAAAGTAAGTCTGCGGATGACGTCTTCAAGCTGTTGAAGCTTGATGTGAAACCTGAACCAAATTACTCGATTAACGTCAAACGGCTTAGTTTGTGGGTCATGTATATGGAAAAATATGAGGCTATGCCGGAGACACGGATGACAGAGGTGATAGGTCATTATGATCTCGACTTCGCTTTGATGGTCTATAACGGCTTGAGAGGGGCGAGTCATAAAGATGCTGCAAAAGCCCTAGAGAATACACTGGTAGATCAGTTACTGTATCTTAAAGGTGGTTCTCAAGATCAAGTCGTTCAAGTATTTTAAAAAACTAGAACTTGACAATGGGCTGGATAAACTTCTTGACAAGCCAAACTTTGACCTATTTCTTAGCTATGCGGCACACTTCGAACCTGCTAGGACAAAGGAAGCGGTTCTTATCAAAGCAGCTAGAACTGTGTATGGAGATATCCCTTTAGGCAAAATGCTTGAAGCCGCGTCGAAGAATGATCGAACGGCTACACTCTTGCTTCAGGAGCTGGATAAACTTGAAAGGATGGACGCCTATTTAACAGATCAACTTTCTTTAAGTCTTGAGGAGTTACCGCCGTCCCTTTTGGCTAATGCACATGTGTAAGGGCAGGTAAGCTGTCACACGCCTCGACAAGTTGTTTATTAGCTTTAAATTCGTCAATAATACATATCATTTTTTTTTGTCTGAATGTTGTTGAGCTTACAGCAGACTATCAATCGAGATCAAGATAAAGAGTTGCCATGGTCTTCTTCAGGCCGGCACTCATTTATTATATTCTTTTTCCTGCTTATCGTTAGTAATGCATGCTTCTTCAGTATTCTTGCTTGATCAAACGCTCAGGAAGTAGCTCTAGTTCACTTCATTCGTAGCTTATATCTAATAGCTGCGTGTGAGGACGATCTTGTCAGGCGTTGTTGCCGACTCTTAAAAGGAGAATACGGGACTCTACAAGACATGTTTATAGGTTAAAGGACTTGATCACAGAAAAAGTATGTAATGTTGTGCTGGTGACTAAAAGGTACACTAAGAAACCCTTGCATACTGTAATTTCATATTTCATTAGCCACGTATGTCGTTCACATGTAAGTCTAACTAATTGCATCAGTGTTTTTGTATACTGACATACACATTTATAGTTTTTTCTCCTTTAGCTGATTTTGCTCGCTGCCATCGCGTGATGATTTTTTGAAAATTCTTACAGTTTTGGTCGAGCTGTAAAACAAATTAATCTGTACACAATACGAGTCTATATTGTAGCAGCATCAACATAAGTGGCGAAACATCCCGTGATGATGCCTGCAAGACGGTGTCTGCATAGCTTCATTAGATACCGGACCAAAGATTACGTGCAGGCACCACGAATGGCCATCAAAGCTAAGCAATTGTTGCTTAAGCTGGACCGCCTTGAGTTTGTAGTGCTTCAAGCGTCGATACGCTTGTACCAGCATTACGTAGCAGTATTTTTGGCAATGCATTAGTATTGATGCCCAACTGCTGAAAGCAGCAAACAACTGAAAGAGTTCAAACTTCAGAATCGCATCAGTTTGGTGTTGTACCAGCTGCGTAAGATATCTAAAGCCTTTTGAAAAAAATCGAACAGTAATGACAAGGCCGATGCAATGGACAAATTGCACGACATGGAGACGTACAGTGACCGGCATCACAACTATCGAATAGTAAGATTCATTAACCCAAAGTGATAAGATCCTACCGTCCTCAACTGTAGCTCACTATCGGCCTGTAACAACAAGAAAACAACACTTTATCAGCAAAGCTACTTTCATGCCATCTCTTTTCTATTGACGCTGTGCTCACTTGTCCAACAAACACTGACGTTCGTCCAATGTGGAGCTGCGGAGATCGTAATTCGTTCGTGTATTCTTCTTCGTCTCTTTGTAATAGACCATGGATGACACGAGAAAGAGCGTTCCATACAAACATGCCGATTCGAAGATGGGGGCAGGACTTTTTACACTTTTGTGAATCTTCATGTATTTCGGCTGCACTTGCACAAGAATTTTTACTAAGACATTTTAGAGACTTAAATAGCAAATGATCTTGCTGCTGATCAAAAGTGACGCGACAGTGTCATGGACGTTTTGAGCGTTTAACTACTGCAGTATAGTAATTGATCGGATTACCGTGGCTGCTAGGTGCAGGCAGTACTACGAGGTATATTACCGGTATGACGGAGGATTTGGAATAAAATACGGTCATCTCATTCTTTCAATAGGGATTGTATCTTAAGTCCTCGTTCGCCTGTTAATCCGTTGGTCAACATGCTCGCCCGCCAGGTAATATCTCGCCATCTATAAGTCGTTTATACATGTCGAATATCTCATTCTACGTGCCTATATTTCCTCTATCTATCGAGAATCTTTTCTCTTTATATCGACCTCTCTAGCACTCAAACGGATTGTTCTTCCCTTCCATCTTATTGACATACTATTTAACACTTTTTACTGGCTACAGATCATCCGACGCGTGACCACGCAGCCCCTACGAAGTATTTCTATGTCTACTTTGGTAGTAGCCGAGCATGACCAATCACAGGTCTCCAGTGCCACGTTGGCCACGATTACAGCTGCCTCACAGATTGGTGGAGATATCACGTTATTGGTCCTTGGCAGTCAGGCCGGCCCCGCCGCTGAAGCTGCTGCTAAAGTTGCCGGTGTAAAGAAAGTGCTGCATGCTGCTGACCCCAAGTACGACCATTATGTGGCCGAGGAGGTGGCGGAGCTGCTGGTAGCTGCTCAAAAGGCAGAGAACTACTCGCACGTGCTGGCCCCAAGCTCCAATGCCTCAAAGAACTACTTGCCCCGTGCTGGTGCCAAGCTTGACGTGGCTCCCATCTCGGACATTGTGTCCGTGGTTAACGAGGAAACTTTTATTCGTCCTACATATGCTGGCAATGCCATTGCTCAGATTAAGAGCAATGATGCAGTGAAGCTCATTACGGTGCGTCCTACCGGTTTCAATAAGGCTGCAGCCGAGGGTGGCAATGCCTCAGTGAGCCCCGTACCAGAGGTTCCTACAGTTGGCAAGACTATTTTTGTCTCCGAGGAGGTGAACAAATCAGAGCGTCCAGACCTGGCTTCGGCTCGTGTGGTTATCTCGGGTGGACGTGGTCTAAAGAGCGGTGAGAACTTTGAGATGCTTTACAAATTGGCCGACAAACTGGGTGGTGCAGTGGGTGCTTCACGTGCTGCTGTGGATGCTGGCTTTGTACCGAATGAGCTGCAGGTCGGACAGACGGGTAAGGTTGTGGCCCCAGATCTGTACATAGCTGCTGGTATCTCCGGTGCCATCCAGCACTTGGCAGGTATGAAGGACAGCAAAACCATTGTGGCTATTAACAAGGATGAGGAGGCCCCGATCTTTCAAGTAGCAGACTACGGCCTCGTAGACGATCTCTTTACTGCCGTGCCCAAGCTGACGGAGAAGATCTAAACTGCTGAAATGGTCGATATTACGACACACGTCGCAGGACTTTGAGTCGGGTACCGTAAGATAGCCGTATCAGGATTTATCTACTAATGAAACGGGTTGGATTGGTGAAATATACCTTTACAATTCTAACCAATCGTATCCCAATGAATTAATTGACTCCACGTGTTTATCGGTCTTGTCATTTTTGTATTGAAAGTCTCGCACGTAAGTCAGTAGTTAATTCATGCCTCATCTTACTTTTATACTGATTTTCCCTCCATTAATCAATCGTAGCCGACCTCATACAAAAAATCAGATACAAACATGACAAAGAAGACGATGAAGACGTCAGGAAATCAACCTGTTGGCTCCATTTTGGGTGATTTGTGCACAAAATACGACAAGACGACGTCGAAAAAGATCAAGCTCATTGACGGCTTCCTCGTCTATGTTTTGGCCACGGGCCTGCTCCAATTTATCTATTGCTTGTTGGTGGGCAGTTTTCCTTTCAACTCGTTCCTTGCCGGCTTTGTGTGCACTGTTGGTGTCTTTGTACTGGCAGGTCAGTACAATATTATCTTTTTTTTGGTTTTTACAAGGAAATGCCCAAATGGTCACTGCTGACAATTTGTTCTGAATTTAATCACTTGTAGTGTCGCTTAGGATGCAGATCAATCCGGAAAACAATTTTGGGGACCGTACGGAGCAACGTGCCTTTGCTGACTACCTCTTGTGCAACATTATCCTCTTCCTCGTTGTGTTTAATTTCATGGGTTAATCAAAGTATGAGTAACGACGCATGGACTTCTTGGACAGATAAAAATGGAAAAATGTCACAACAGGAGGCAACAGGCTAACTTTTTGTCTTTTGATCTGAAAAAAAAAACATTGCATCAAGAGACATTGTGTTATGTTGGTCAAACTTGTATTGACTTTTATACAGGAGTTTAACTTTATCAATTGTTACAGAACTCAAAGTGGGTTTGAATACGATTCCAAAGACGCTGGATGGAAAACCTGAATGTTAAAGTGTATGGGAATCAAGTGCATTAATCTGCTTAGAAAGGTGGGGATAGATTTGTCTTCTTTGCTACGATGGGGTGAACCAAGTTTCGCTGCAGAATGCAAAGATATGTGTCCAGAGCACCCCAGGAAGTTTGCGCATCCTCGCTGACGCCATTAATGTTGTCAGCACCCCTTGACGAAACCTTAATGGGTAATGCGCATGACTGAACGTGCTCCACCGTCTCGTTGAATTCACCAGAATTAGCGCAACCGTACCATGTTCGCTTGGATCTGAGGCGGAATCGGCCTCAACATTGGCCCACGTCCCTTGTAGCACGGCGCCATCACGGCTAATGTCTGCTGTGTACGTGTACATGCCCACCTCATGCTTCACCACGTATTGCTGGCCATACTCAATCCGTGACGGCCCCCAGCACCCAAATACAGGGCTTACTTGCTGAAAAATACGCTCTTTGCTCTCGCCAAGTAGCATTCCACCTGGTCGCAACTGCACCTTCAGCTCAAATGGATATTCGTATCCATCGGTGTCACTGGTGCAGCCAGATAACTCGTACACGCCTGACGTAAACACGTGGATAGCGTCATCGTCGTCATTGGTAACAGCAGCAAATTTAGCTCTACCGATATCGTGGTGCATTTGCCGCTGCTCTTGTTGGAAGCGTGAAGCGATATCACCATTACTATCATTCTTCTCCGTTTTGAGTGTGGTAGGTGTAAAATTTACGCGTTCGAGTTCCAACTCAAACTCTCCGCGGCCACCTACGTGACCGTCCTCGTGATCCTCATCCACATTATGCCATTTGCCGCTAAGTATCTCGCGTCTTTTACCAGAAGCATTTGCTTTGCTTTTGCCTTTTGCCTTCTTGCTTCTCTGCTTGCCACATAATACACCAGCATGACCTTCTTCGATCACTACAGCTCCGGAATAGCGAAAGTGTCCCACAGCCTCGCGAACCCGATATTCTAGTACGTACGCGACACGATTGGCATACCAGCGTCCTTTCAATTCGCATACCTGAGGCTGCGCAACTTCGCGAGACGTGCCATGCAATGTACCATCAGGCAGCAAGTACAACGTGACCCAGCATTTATCTTTCATAGTGGTCATGACAGGACGAGGGCGGCCTCGTCGTCCATTTCTCTGTCTTGGTACCGCCGCAGCTACGTCAGATGGTTTGTTATACGTTGTAAAGCCTTTAAACTCGTACTTGCCAGGTCGCAGCGGACACAGGAGTGGCATCATCTCCGCCTCTTGTGTCGTCCGCTCTACTTCCTGCTGAGATTGACACCACTGCACCGGTTCCAGTTGGAACACCTTTTGCTCTGCAATTGAGCCCGGCATCTCTCCTTTCCTTGATCCCATTGTACTCGTCACTGGTTGTCTGGTTTGTTCGTCTCCTTTAGAGAATCGCCAAGTGCCGACTGCAGGTGCATCGGGTGTCATTGGAACGTGTAAATGACATGTCAATGTATGTCGATCGACGTGATGTAATCTCTTCATCACATCAAAAGTACAGCAATATTCTACTGCCGACGTAACATTGTCGTCTGAGCTTTTTGACGATGGCGATTCCACCTCTTCTTCAATTGGAACAATTTGGCCATCCCCCACCACGTGCGCAATTACAATACCATCGATATGATCACTAATCACTCGACGTTTACGTTTCTTTTCATTGCAATTGTCAATTGCATTGACGTTTTCCTCTTGAATACGTCGAACTTCTCCATTTACTAAACCAGTCGTTGAAATTCGTAAATGGATACGACTTTTTAAAGTAAGAAATCCACCCACAGAGCCTTCGTACATACGGTCAAGAGGTGTCAATGGGATTGCAATTGTCTTGAGAACTTGTTTCTGAGATGACAAACTACTACGAGTTATTGGTACGTCGTCATTGGCTTCAACGCGCAAGCGATTACACTCGATGTTGTCCATTATTGTCGTTTTTATTGAATTAGCTGGTTAATATTGGCTTAAGAGATACTGGATTGGGAGGCATAGTGGATAATACCTAAAAGCAATATATTGTAATTTTTATTGTGCCATATAGTTGTTGGTAGCCTCTTTATTGCTATCTCAAGTCTCACGTGATATCTATAACTATTGCAAGTCACGTATGAACCAATTGTACCCGCAATACGATACAATAAAGCTCCATAAGTAGTTTGGTAAAATACCATCACGATGTGATGCAAGGAGCATAAGTTTTACGCATTCCTGAAATACCACGGGATAGTCTTTGTGAAATGTTTCGCTCCATACACGAACAGCTTTGACTAGTTGAAATTCTAATATACCACGCTCAGCTTGACTTGTATTTGCGTCGAGGTTTACTCCGAGTCTTGGTAGTTCAGAATTGTGCCATGTACCTTGCAAGCCCGCGTGAAACGGTGTGCCAAAATAATTGTATGTGTGCTTGTTGCCGTGCATTTCATATTGCAGCAAGTAGTGAAGACCCTTACGGGTCCACATCCCAGCAAGTGAACATTCTTGTGCAAATGGCAATTCATAGGATGTACCCGATATCATGCCATTGGCCTGGAGTGTCAGATCCACCACACATTCGTAGACGAATGCATTCTCAGCAATTGTAATGCCTTGCAATAGATACCGTCCAGGTGTAAGCGGATGCAATGGGTTATCCAATGCCTCAGTTCGATAACTGCTCGGTCGTAACGTAAAGTCCTGAGCTTCTTCGACACTGTCTTTAATTTCAAAAAATCGTCCAGACATGCCACGTTCACGCGAGAGGTGAGCAATGCACTTGATAATTTGCGACCACATACCTTGTGCATGTCGTCCGTATTGCACAATCTTAAAGTGGACGATATAATTCACCGGTGGAATGGTTCCATCCTTTGCTACTTGTGGCATCATTTCCACCAATGCACGTCCATCGTATGCTACTAATTTGGTATCTTCTTCTTCTTCTATAGCTTGAATTGTTCGATCATAATCGTCTCTTAACATAAAACGTCTTGGAATATATTCATTCTGATCATCTACTTGTTCTCTGTCGTTTAGGTCTTGCATACATTCTTGTTGATCAATTGATCGAGTGACAATTGCAATTGGTTTGATAGCAACTTGAAGACTTTTATCCTTGTAAATTATAAAGCGAAAACGATGTAATTCATGCAAAAAGGAGAAGGTGCCATCACATTCAAAGACGTCCACAATATCGTCTCGAGTGCTCGACATGATGCTCACAGACACACTTATAGACTGTCTCATTGGCTGAAAAGAATTTAATAAATTATTTTACTACTACAAAAAAACTTGTCTATAGTAATACTGCCTTATCTAATAATATGCCTCTTGGCTGCTAAAATATAATATAACTTTTTCATACGTATGAGCCAAAACATCTGTATTAGCTTTTAGCTTGTTTAAGCTAATAGATGCCTTTGGTCCCAAAGATATTGCTTTAAGCAAGGTTTTTTTATTTATAGTAATGCAATCATCAAAATGACTACATGTAGCTATCAAAACAAAAAGAAGTTTCATAAATGTATGTATGTACGTATACCAGTATAGCTTCTCTCTCTCCATTAATATCATCTACTCAATAATGAGCTCATCAATGCTCCAGTCCTCAAATGAATTGTCTGGTAGGTATCGGCGAATGATAATGGGAATTTTGCGTTCACGCAGTTCCTTCATTGCAATCTTGAGTGGGTCCGTCTCACCTTCAATATCCACCATCACCGGTGCATTCATGGAGATTTGCAATGCACGAGTTCCTAGAACACGAGCACGTTCGTACTTAGTCATGTAACGTGTGGTAATACGTTTAGCATTCGGCTGCTTATGTGACTCGTCCAGCACTTGCAACTTATTATCTTCATCTGCAATGTCATTACCCCCTTCGTACATATCTTCAGCCGGTACTTCTTCCTCCATTTCGTCCTCCGGGACCTCCTCCTCCATTTCGTGGTGGCCTACGTCATCATATTCCATGTCGTCCATCCTGACTCTTTATTTTTATAATATCCTTATAGCTCATAGATGCGTCGCTTCCATTCAAATGTACAAAGTATTATCAGCCAATGATACAACAGTATGTTATACAAGCATTTTCAACGAATCCCATTATCCTACTTTTTATCCAGTAATAAGGAGGAATGCAATAACCACTTAGCTATCAAACATGACGGACCTGGATAATGAGTTTGCACGCTTCGAAGCAGAGATTCAGTCGCTGGAGCAGCAGATGAAGCCCTCAGATGATAAGCAAAACACAAGAAACAATTTAAAGGATGAGCAGGAGCCATTGGTAAAGAAAATGAAGACAGTTAGCGACGGATTGGCAGCTCCACTGAAGCCTGTGGTTGTAAAAGCGAAGACCAAGATTTATATGGCTCCCCCACGTCCTGCCCCCGTGAAAAGAGACCATTTGATTGAATTAGTAGCTGAAAATGGTGCAGAACTAGTAGATGATGGACGTCCAAGGATGCTTAATACACTGGAAGATGTGGCAGCACATCGAGGAGCCCTCAGTGGCTTTCCAGCTGGTACAACGGGGGAACACGCAGCAATTGTTGCATCTGCAATCTCAGGCTCAGCATCTTTGGCGGAGTATCGGTCAGTTCTGCCTCGTGTAGATATGGATACAGGCCACGTGCTGCCTATGAAGGAGCAGGAGATGATGAACAGACAACAGAGTGTCTACGAGTACGACCCCAAGAGAACAGCAGCGAGTATTGCTGCAACATCGCAGGGAAAAGATAGTGCAGGATATGGTCAAGGAGGCAAGAGAAAACAAAAGCGGCACTTGCGACTTGCCGGTGGGATAGTCTGGGAAGACTCGACACTCGAAGACTGGCCTGACAATGACTTTCGTCTCTTTTGTGGAGATTTGGGCAATGAAGTAAGTGACGAGCTTCTTGCCCACAGTTTCGCCAAGTACGCTTCGTTCCAACGTGCACGTGTAGTGCGGGACAAGCTGACGCACAAGTCTCGAGGATATGGGTTCGTCAGTTTTACTGATCCTTTTGACTACGCCAAAGCTTTGCGTGAAATGAACGGTAAGTACATTGGAAACCGACCAGTAAAACTAAGTAAAAGCAAGTGGCAGGAACGCAATATTGACGTTGCCAAAAAGAAGATGCGCAAGCGCAAGAGCGACAAACATCACCTATTCCACTGATTTGGTCTGGTAGACACTTGCGTTGGTGAACGAAGTCACGCTTAGAAGTGCAGCACTGCAGCGATACTTACACAATCATTTACACTCAGCGAATTGATTATGTCCGTGAGCAACTCTGTGGAATGTCTCTTTGGGGCGAGGTAGATACTATTAACAAGCAAAAAGAATGCCGTCGATATTCTGGTCGAGTCCCGATTGACTGTAATGTTCAAGTCAGAAGGGCAGGAGACGTGTCTTACACATTCTGCCAGCTTGGCTCGTCCCTGCATCGTTGGTCAGAAGACTAATCGTACTTTGTCTGGCATTATGCTTTGAAGGCGAAGCAATTTCCACAAGGAAGTGAACCTGATGAAGACAACGAAAGTTTTACTGCATTAATAGTGAGTTTAGGCTGTATCATTAAGCACGATGCTTTTATTGCACAGGAATAGCCATCAAGCGATTCTGAACTTTTGACACAGACGTCATTGAAGTTCTATGCGTATGAGGTAGATTCAAAGTTTGGCCGACTTTATAAAAGATGCATCTTACAAATGACAAGAGCTAGTTATCTAGACCTTGCCTTATTTTCAGTAGCGGGCCACGCGCATTTACCATACTAACATAAAGAAACAATAAACGTGTATTGATCTTGAAAAGGCGGGATAGAATCCTGTAGCTGGCTGAATTCTGTAGCTAGCTACAAGAAGCTTTCTCTAGACATCTTGAACCTTGAAAGCACGTCCTTCGTACTGGTGACAGATCGTAGACAGCGCAGCTGACGTAGGCGTCACGCTCTGGTGGTACGACATAAGGCCTTCTGATTGCACGTCAGTAGGTCCATTATCCTGCTCGTTTGAGGTGAGGAACGTCGTCATCAGCGACATCAAAATGAAAAACATGGTGATACAATTGAAAGCCGTCGCAGCTCAAAGGTTATGACAATGCCATCCAATGCCATAAGTGGTCGTGTAGTCCGACGTCGCCAAGCAGATACCGGCAACAAGTAGCAAGAGCACCAATGCATGGATCTAGGCCCAGCTTCAAATGAAGTGCCGGGCGGTTGGCAAGATGGAAGATCTCCACCGCCACGAGATGCCACAAGACGCCACAAGACGCTACAAGACGCCACAAGACGCCACAAGACGCTACAAGAAACGTGTGCAGCATTCCCGTGTAGCCCCATGAGCAGCACGAATATGCTTGCTCTCGAAGCCGCTACATCGTAAAAACCTACAGCTGCAACAGCCAGGGCCAATACACTACAGATGCGTTACACATCCCGCAGTTCTTACCGTATATACACCATCTTCTTGGGAGCGGTCGCAGCAATCGGCATAGTGCGTATCGATTTGAGACTTTAAAAACAAGTTGAAGCGAGGAAGTTCACGAATGGACGCACTTTATTGAGAAAATGTAGGGAAGACGTGTCTCCATGTGATATGTGCGAAGCTTCTTACCTTCAATTGAGGAGAAGGGCTTTCTATGGCGTTCCCAAGAAAAGACTAGGATGAGCTCGCTGACGCAACCAGCTCCGTATAATGGACAGAGCATTGCCATTCGACCAATTTACCGGCCTTACAATCACTTGGACCAATTAGTTAATCTTTTGCTGCTTAGAGTAAGACCGATGCAGCAGACTATCTTTTTTTGAATCCCGCGGTCTTTACAGTCCTGTACTTTCCCATGCTTCCTGCCATCCTTGTAGCCAGAGAACGGTCTATACTATGTTCTTCCTCCTGCGATTGTTAGTGCCAGAGAAACTGGCTATTCCCTGCTTCCTAGTCGACGAGTGGTAGATGCAGAATGCTGCCATTCTGCACCATCATTATCAATTTCACTCTGAAGCGCAGACGCAAACGAGGAAAAAGACCATGCGCCTCGATTCCATCCTTTTCGTAGCTGTTCTATCTGCTTTTTTTAACGTCTCGTCGACACACTCAATCTCGACATCAGGGCGATCAACCGTGGTCGGCGTGGAGCCGACCAAAGAAGAAAGGACCCCTAGCTTACCTGTCTTCGACTCAGTCATTAAAAAGGTCAAGTCAATGACGTTTAGTGGTATGGAGGAAATGGTAGATGTAAATAATCTGGTGAAAACCTATAAGACCTTAAAGCTCCACAAGAACATCCCGTCTCGCAACGAACGCTATGATGCCTGGATCAAGTATTCAGAAAAGACTTCTTCAGACACCTTAAAAGCGGAACTAGAGTCGTCAGGACGTGACGGAGAAGAAATTTTTCTGAAGGTGCTAAAAGCCTTCATAATAGCTGGTGTACACGGAGATATTCAGACCAAATTGGAGACTGCGCTGCTGGAATCTTGGAAAAAGAGGAAATTGGGTTCGCTTGGCGTTTTTAGGATGTTGAAGCTGGGCAAGCCAATTGATCCCATGCTTTACATCACACTGCTTCCAATGTGGGTAAAGTATTCGAAAAATAATATTCGTGACATGAGTAAAGCGGTATCCTCTTTTCGTGGCAATATTCGTCTGAGGTTGCTTGAGGATTTAAGTAATATTGATGGTGCTGAAGATGTCGGGAGCTATTACAGGATGATCTGTTGATGACTTGGAGGAATGATAAACTATCTGCGGAGAACCTCTTTACTGAGCTGAAACCTTTTGAGGAAGGTCATAGCGATTTTTACTCTTACATGTGGGCCAAGTATGTGTTACAGGCATCCGATCCGCTCAAAGATATCAAATTAGCGATACCGAAGGTGTTAGAAATTCACGGTGATGAAGGCCTTCTGAAGATGCTTGACGCTTTGGAAAAGGAACATGTTGAAGAAGACATACAGGGCGAATTGAAGTCTGCGTTGATGACCTCTTGGAAAAACCAAAGTAAGTCTGCGGATGACGTCTTCAAGCTGTTGAAGCTTGATGTGAAACCTGATCCGACCCATCCGATGAACGTCAAACGGCTTAGTCTGTGGGTCATGTATATGGAAAAATATGAGGCTATGCCGGAGACACGGATGACAGAGGTGATAGGTCATTATGATCTCGACTTCGCTTTGATGGTTAATGACGGTTTGAGAGAGACGAGGCATATATATGCTGCGAGATTTCTACATATTTCACTGGTAGATCGGTTACAGCATTTCGAAGGGGGTTATAAAGATCGGGTTGTTCAAGTATTTAAGATACTAAAACTTGACAATGGTCTGGATAAACTTCTTGACAAGCCAAACCTCGACCTTTTTTATCGCTATGCGGAAAAGTATGAATGGAAGCGGACAAAGGAAGCGTCTCTGATCACAGCAGCCAGAACTGTTTATGAAGATATCCCTTTACGCCAAATGCTTAAAGCCGCGTTGAAGAATGATGATACGGCTAGACTCTTGCTTCAGGAGCTGGATAAAGTTAAAGGAATTGACCCCATTTGAAAGACCAACATTCTCTTTAAGTCTCGAGAAGTTTCCGCCGTCCTTTTTGGCTAATGCACATGTGTGAGGGCAAGTTAGCTGTCACACACCTCGACAAGTTGTTCATGAGCTTTAAAATCGTCAATAATACATATCATTTCTTTTATATTTAAATATCGCAGAATTACAGCGGAATATCAATCTTAACGATGATAGAAAGCAAGATGAAAAGGGTGTCATGGTCTTCTTTAGGTCGGCCTTCATTTACAATATAGTGTTGCCCTACTTATCTTCTAATAATGCATGCTTCTTCTGTACGACCTTTGTTTTTGCTTGATTAAAAACGCTTAGGAAATAGCTTTAGCTCACTACATTCGTACTAGCTTATCGCTAGTAGCTGCGTGGCAGGAAGTATTTGTCAGGTGTCGTTGCCGGTTCTAGAAAGGTAAGAAACCGAGACTTCACAAGATTTGTGTTTATGTTGAAGGACTTGATCACGGACAAAGTAAGAAATGTTGTGCTGGTGGTTGAAAGGTTTACTAGGGCGTCGTAAGAAAGATCACGGGAATACACGACTGTGATAAACTCGGTCAAAAATGCATATACTGTAAATTTGATACTCTTTCTTTTAAGAGGTATTAAATATATTCCTAAAGATATCGGTAATATCGTACTGTACCGGTTGTGGTAAGGTAACTGATATCGGAGTTACTAAGTACAATATGTTGGAAATCTTGGTGCACAGTCGCGGAGCTGGCCGACTCCTGGGAGAAGTCGCGTGAGCAGTTATAGTGCCGGATGATTCTAAGCAACTGTCGTGTGAAATCAACACGAAGTAAGATCAAATGCGAGTTGCTATGATCAGGAATATATAATTTACTTACTCTCTAGATTCCTCTCTCGTGCACAAGTCGTTCTAATTCAACAGGTTATGAGCCCAAGAGACGGGCCTGAGCATTCTGTCGGCGGATACGTACATTCCCGACAGGGGAGGATTCGCTCGCGAAAGGAGCGACGATGACAAGGAGACGCCACTGTCCAACATGGAAGTGTGCTCGCAGCACTCACGCGGTTGGAGACACGCAAATACACTATTTAAAGAGCCAGTGTAAGCGTGTCTGTGGTGTGTGGGTCCTCAAAATTGTATGATGAGACCACATACCACTCACTGTGCCGGACTACCGACTGTCGGAGGGGGTACCCCGATGCCGCGTATGGACATTCTTCTCACCTTGTGTACCCGTCGGCTGGCGGGTTGCACTCTTCGGAGGACTTGGTGAAGATGTAGATGTCTGCCTTGAGGGAGGTAGACCTGGGGGGCCTCGAGTGGATAAGCTTTACTCGGTGGGCCGGTAGAAGGCCACTCGATAAGCTTTGTCAAGAGTGGGCTTAGAGCCAAATTCTTCAGGGAGCTTATCCCTGGCATTTTCCTTCTTGTTTCAGTGGTATCAACCACCTGACCTTTACGTTGCTCCCGGACCGTGAGGTGAGGGAGACCGCTTCCGATAGCGGGTCTTGGGGGGGGGTGTTGCTACTCGAACGAGCTCACAGGCCAAATACATTCTGGAGCTCTATTCGCACTTGAACTTCGCTACACAACTGTCTTCGACGGGGGGCCAAAATTTATCCCTTCCCGGAACAGTGAGTAACT